TGGTCTGTCGGAATTTGGTGTCAATTAATTGCGAACGGATTCGAGATTAACTTGAACCTTTGGAAAGCCTAATTAAAGCAAAACTCCGCGAGTGTGATAGTCAATGAAACAATCGCGTTTCAATGACTCTTCGTCGAGCATTGAAAAAGTTAGTACATGAATGGTTTATCAAAATAAATGGAGGTAACGGTTTTCTTTTCAGCTGTAGCAGAATACTCCGATGCGTTAAAGAATCAATAAGAAGCCAAACCGAGTACCTCGCTAATGCCTCACCGGCCATGTCCAATGTGAGAACAGATCAATCGACGGGTATGACGAGTGTTCACAACAAGAGTACATTGCTAGTGATTCAGATGAAAAGTACCCAAATAACGCCAAAAAAAAATGCCAGTAGCAGCACTGTGTGCCAAGCTTATCAAAGGAAAAATACTGAGAGGTTCAGTCGTCATGATCACGTCAAGACCCGATGAATCTGACAAAATAAAAGCCAAAGACATCTATTTTGATAGATACGTTGAAATTACAGGATTTTCCGAGCCACAATTAAAATAATACATTGCAAAGTATTTTAAAAACAACGACCGAATGAAAAATATTGTAATTGACCACATTACAAAGAATGTCAATCTTATCAGCTTTGCCCACATTCCTGTGCTCTGTTTTCTTATGTGCTCCTACTTTGAATATACTCTACAGCAATCAAAGAAGAATAATCCTCTCCCGGTGAAAACAAGTGACCTTTATGATGAAGTGGTCAACATGTTCGTGCAAAAGCACGATGAAAAGAAAAGAGCCTCTCTCGAAGAGACTCTGGATGAATTATCAGAGCTGGCTGCTCAACTTCTTCTGGAGAGGAGGTTTCTTTTCCTTAAAGAGGATTTGAAAACTCTTGACTTACACGAGTTTGAAAGGCTGTGTGGAAGCGGTCTTCTTCATTGCGGTCCTCCTTTCAGAAAATCTTTTTCTACGACGACTAAACATTTTTTTTTTACACCCTTGACTGTCCAAGAGTACTTAGCGGCGCGTTGGTTTGTAAAGAAAAGAACAATCCCCCCCAGACATGTGTCTACAGAAGTAGTTCTATTTATGTCGGGTATTTTGTCCAAGCAAAAAGACAACGAATTTGTGGAAAAGTTGATTATCAACAAATTTCTCAGCGACGACCTATCAGCAGATGAATGCACAAGGGGGCTTTTAATTTCTAAATGTCTCCTACAATACGAAGACATCGAGTTTGCTAAGGGAATAGTAAGGAGATTTCACGACATATTCTGCATACGTAATGGCCGTTTTGATCTTTCTCGCGTCGGGATGGCGTATGTGGACTGCCCTGTTGTGTCTTTTACATTAAATGTTTTTGGTGCGCTCAATTCAGAGGAGGAATCTGAATGGAATAGAATCACCACGCTTGAACTGAGTGGTGGGAAGGTTACTGATGCCGGTATTGCCAGTCTATGTCAAGAATTACAGACACCAACATGTAAAGTC